ATCTGAAGAGACACGAGAACAACATGCACAGCGAGCGCAAGCAGCTGCAGAGCGAGACCGAGCAGCTCCAGGCCGCAGCAATGGCCGCCGAGGCCGAGCAGCAGCTGGAGTCCATCGCCTGCTCATAATTACTGATCTTAGTAGGGCTGGGACAATAAATTCATGCATCTTGATTCTCTCTTGAATCGATTCTGAGCTTGGTATTGAACCGCAGATGGCACCGCGTGCTTTAGAAACAGCCGTCCTCTGCTTTCTTCCAGTTCCTCCCAGGTTAAAAAAAAAGTACACTTTCGTAATGTACTTAAAGTGGTCTATTCTCGCGCACTAGTTTTGCACTTAACATACTAAAAATGATTCTTTAGTACGTCTTAAGATCAACTAAGTTTACTCAACTGTGCTATTTTGGGACACCATGAACTAAACTGTGCTTTTAACATACTATCTCTGCATTTAAAATGTATTTAGTCAGCACTTGTAGTACACTTGAACCATCTTTCATACACTAGTACACTCAAGCGTACTACAAGTGCTGACTAAATACATTTTAAATGCAGAGATAGTATGTTAAAAGCACAGTTTAGTTCATGGTGTCCCAAAATAGCACAGTTGAGTACACTTAGTTGATCTTAAAAAGTACTAAAGAATCATTTTTAGTATATTAAGTATAAAATTAGTGCGTGGAAATGGAGCACTTTAAGTACATTACGGAAGTGTACTTTTTTTTTATAAACTGGGCTTACACACACACACACACACACACACACACACACACCACTTGAACATAAAATAATCATTCATACAGTTTGAAAAGGTTGAAGTGAATTACAAGGGTGTTCATAATGGGCTGTGTTTACATTAATCTGACGTCGTAAAAGCATAAAAAAAACAAGTACATTTAAGCTCTTTGTGAGCATTTGAGTGTGCGGTTAAAAACTATATCAGAGCGCCATCTGCTGTTCAAAACTAAGCTCAGAATCGATTCTGCATTGATTTATTGTCTACATCTTAGTGATTTTTTCTCTTATAATTTTAGAACATGACTTACACTGTTTTTCGTTGTTTCATTTATATGTAAATGGTGCAGACGTTTTCTCTTATTGTACAGTTCATACCAAATGTATTTGAGTATTTATGGCAGCTGATGGACGATGAGTTGTTCTTCCCTTCGCCTGTTGCCATCGTACTGCTTAAACTGGACACATTAACATTTGTGATGTTGACGGATGGATGGAACAAGCTTCGGGTCAATCATTCCATCCGTGTCTTGCGAAAGGGTGTGACGGTTTGCACATCCAGATATATTTGCTGTAATAAAAGACTGGTGAATCATGGCTTGTTTGGTTCTTGTGCTTCCCTCAGCAGCTGGTGAAGGTTGATCCGCGGCCGGTCGCACTGCTTAGACTAGCCTCACGAGTTAGTCATGTCATTACTAGAAGACTGAAGTCAATTTCTTAAAAATGTGGATTGGTCTAATTTGAATCTCCTCTGGTTAACTGCAAGTTGGTCAAACTAGTTCTTATGACGATCTTAAACAGTCTGAACAAGTCTTAATTCCACAAGTTGAAGCCTAAAAAGTTATTAAATCAGAGCACAATGTCTTGAATTCATGAAGTCGTGGCATTAAATACTAAAAACGAATATTTTCTTCAGTGTTTTTGTCTTGTTTTCCCGTACAAATATCTCAACATCCTAAAATCAAGATGCTTGTGACATGAATGAAATCTTTTCTGAGAAACGTAACAAAACTGAGAGTTTACGCTTAAAACAAGAACAAATATCTGTCTGTGGGGAATTAAAGATTGTTTGAATTAAGTAACATTTTTAAGCCCACTGGCAGATATTTGTTCTTTCTCAACCATAAGCTCATTTCATTTTAATCAATTTCTCAAAAAACGAGACCTTTTATTTTTAAACCCTGTTGTCGATGTGTCTTGATTTATGAATCTTTAGACATTTGCACTGGAAAACACTGAGGAACATCAGTTTTTTAATATTTAGTTTTTCTGTGTTCTAGTGTTTGTGAGCGGAGCTATTCAAGACTTAAGCTATTTCTTTGTAAAGATGGTTTAACGGTGATTTAGGAACTAAAGGAGATCGATTAGAGGTTTCGCTAATATAACTCATCGAGTTCCTTAAATTGTCTTTACTTGGTCTTAAAAAGGTCTTATATTTATCTTCAGTGTTGGGGGTAACGCGTTACAAGTAACGCGAGTTACGTAATCAGATTACTTTTTTTTCAAGTAACTAGTAAAGTAACGCATTGCTTTTTAATTTACAAGAGAATATCTGAGTTACTTTTTCAAATAAGTAACGCAAGTTACTTTTGTTTCCAATTTATTGATTGACAGCTCTGGTGTTGCCATGGTGAGAGAAATCAGATGTTACTGTAGTTCTAAAATAAATATGAATATGCATTAATTCATACCACTCACCAAAAAACACAGATTCAGTATTCCTCAAAATGAATAAAAATAATGCAACTCAGAATATGACACAAACCTGCAATAATTAAATGTTAAACAACACAAATATCCTTTATGTATTTAATCCCATTCTATTTGCTTCTGACCTTCGGTGATCCAGTTCAACCGTACCAATAAGCACAAATTACTCTAGACAAACATCTGTCTTTTTTTATTGCTGAAGTGTGTTGAAATGTCTTCTGTATTCTACTGTACTTTCCCTTCAGCCTGAGGCTTCTTCATTTCACTTTTGGTGTGAAAAGGCTTTTATATTTGCCAAAAATATAACTTTTTTTATTTTAAAAACAAACAAGCAAGCCCTGTCCAGATTTAAAAAGTAACGTAACGCATTACTTTCCATAAAAAGTAACTAAGTAACGTAATTAGTTACTTTTTTATGGAG